CATCATCATATCAACAGTATAATTTATAGCTGAAAAGTAAAACTGCAACCCCCATTCAAATTTTCCTGTCCATAGAGTGATTTTAGGAAGCTGATGTGGCAGGGTGTTAAGCGGGGAAAAAATAGAACTCCCCGCCTGATTGCAGAACTAAGAAACTGTTCACTCCCCACCTTTTCTCCTGGTTTCCCACGTTATCATTTAATTTTCATTTAGTTTTCTTTTGGCTGAAATAAGTCCACCTTTTCTACTGGTTATTAAGAGAGAGAGAAGAAATTCACGGAAAGGGAAGCGCAATTGCAAGCACATTACATAGAGAGAGGGGGAAAGGTGAAAGGGAGGAGAAGGAAGGAGGTTGCTTACCCTTTTACAGATTCGATCTGCGGAAGGAATGGAAGAAGAGATTAGGCAAGCGCAGAGGAGCTGTGCTGTGCTGCCCTTGCCCTAATCGGGACAAACCGCAAGGAGCTAAACCTGGCATTCTAATGGAGGAATTGGGGTGTGGGAGTCGCATATCCTCTTTCTGGAAGACGACGAAACCCTATTTCTCTGATTGCAAGCCTCTTCCAGGGCATCTTTCTGGCAGCAGGCTAATTCACAAAGTGATTGTGATTCGATGGAGGTAAAACCCGAAGCCGTGGTGAAGAGGTTGTCGACGATCGAGGCTTTCCCCTCCGGCGAGAAGCACAACTACTGCCGCCGCCACCACCGTCTCCCCCGCCGCCACGAACCCTGCTTCTTCTTTCTTCTCTGCTTCAGCCTCAAGAAGGTCGCTCCAAATCGCTCCAGCTACTCTTGAGGAGGCCCCCATCACTCTCAAGCCAGCGGTATTTCCTTCTTTCTTATTAGCTCCAAGCTCATAATTGGTCGTTGTTTTATTATCTTTGTATGTGATTATGCTGTAAATTTGGGAGAACTGGGTAATTATGCGGCGAACCCTTCTCCAGCCAACCGCCAATTCCATGGGGAGGGGTTAATTTAGCTGTATCTTTGTTTCCCCTGGTTCTTGCAATCGGATTAGGTATCATTTATGTTCTCCCTTTGTGGTTTTGAAGTAATATTACTTTGTTCTGTCAAGTGCCATTATCATTGATCGACGAAAGGATAAATATAATTTGTGGAATTGTGTGGTGGAAGTGCTCCTTGCGTGTTGCAAGTAGCAAAAATTACTAGAGGTTCAATTACTTGAAAAACTTGACTTTAATTGGGATCTTCATGTGCTTTAAGGGTGTACTGACATTCTTTATTGAGCCCAAAGAACTACCTTTTGCTGCTGTAATTTCTCATTGATGGTTTGGCTTCATTGAAGATTGTTTTTCAAGTTATATTTGCATGTATGATAATTTTATATGTGTGATTCAGGGATCATGTTAGAACTTGGATTATCTGAAGATTGAATATTTGCATGTCCCTCATATAGTCGGATTTGAATTGCAGAACTATCCCTTACGTGCCAAATACTACTATAGTCGGGCATGCATTTGTTGCTAGGATTTCTGAACCTCTATTTTTCTGTAGTTTAAATTCTCTACTAGCAGTTTACCAAAGGATTAACAAACAAAAAGAAAGAAAAACAGTAGCAGTGAAACCATGTTGCAAAGTCACAGCCTTAGTAAATTGTGTATGCGTGTTGGAGTCCAGGAATTATTCGAACTTCTAATTCAGTAGCATTTGATGCCCCAGAATGTGAAAATGAACAAAGTTCATTTGCTCTGTTGCAGCATGTGTGGACAGCTTGGATTGGTTCTTTTATATTTCTTTAACGTTGTGCCATGTATTATGAATCATGGGTGGACAGCTTGGATTGGTTGCTTGATGAAGAGAAATGAGAGATGGTGACCTGCTTAGCAAACAAGAGTGTTGTATGCTGTGTTGGGCGGTTGAGGGCAATTTGGAGTGATCAATAGAGCAAGAATTCCCTAGGCTCCAGCTCCCCAAAGGGTATGTACCCTTCCCTTAATTCTATATGAATAAATTCTATAAGGCAGTACACAGTACACTGAATCTATGTCATTTAACCTCTGCAGAGGGTGATGTGGTTTATCAGTAATTCATTGGAAGAGTAGGCTGGCAGGAACCGGAAGGTAAACAAATATTTATGCGAGGACTTATGAGATTTTAGTGTACTAAGTAAGCATACGTTTAAACAATGGTATTGTATCTTTGATCACTGCATCACCAACTGGTCAATGGAATTATTTATCAAAAGACAGTGGAAGTAACTTCAAATATTCCTGCATTGATTAGTTCCATCTCACCAGCAAAGCCGAGCGTTATAAACTTCTGTTTTCAGTGTTTTATCGGTTTCAACCGTTTTATAGATTCATGTCAGTTCGTCAAATTTACGCCACCAATTATAATCATCACTATTATTATCCTCATTAAAAATTCACCAAATTCATTAACACCTTAATATCACCAATGATGAGTAATTTTGTAATTCCCATTATATTCCCTTTATAATTCCAAACTCATAACTTTTTTACTTCTTCAAATCAATTTATATTTCGTTACCTCTTGCACTATGGAAGTGTAGTGACACCAAAAGTATCTAAGTTATTGATTCGGAGATTAGAATCGTATGATGAGTAGAGACTGTACATTGAGCGTCTTTGCTCTATAAAAAAAATCCTATTTGCATCGTATTATAAGTTTGAGACTCCAACACAACATTCCTTTGGAAGCATTAATTTCTTAGGATCAAATTTTGGTTAGTTCCTTCGTGAACTATTTGGTTTGAGTTCTTTTCAATTATTTGGTGTAGATCTTTGGAGATGAGATTAGGAGAGCACAATGCAGTTTCATTTTTTTCTTCTTTATTTTGGAGTTATTTATTAAATCCATTATTCATGTACTCCGGACAATCACAAGAGCTAAAAAGAAAGTGAAGCTCCAATTATTAATGGTTGCATTCATCTGCTCTTAAACCTTCAATGTTCCGAGATTCATCCCATCTTAAACCAGTTAGTTGCTTTCATGTAAAAGACCCGTTGATACATTTTGCAATGAGTTTTGTAGTTACTTCTTATGCATTGGGAAGTTAACCAGCACCGATCATTGGGGATTTTATATAAGCAGCAACAAGTTCTTACTTTTGCGAGGTCATAGACCTTAATTTATTTCAATTGGATGTTCGTGTTTTGGTAATGTGTTTCATGACCATTTCACCATATTTACTTCTATTTTACTCAAGGAAAAATGCATACCAATCTTGCCAACTGATGGCCTGTGTTTCATGACAGTTTCACCATGATTTACTTCTATTTTACTCGAGAAAAATGCATACCTCTTCTCTGGGAGTAAAGGATGTGATCACCATTTTGTCGTGCGCTGCTTCAAACTCATATATCATCCACATAACTGTTGAGAGTGCAAGCACTGAAGTTCAAGTAATTTTCCCCTTGCCTCAATCGAGAAGAATTGCTTCAGTTGTCATGAGTCACGACGATCCTTTAGTGTACTTAGTTTTTGTTAGGTCGCCAATTTATATTCCTCTATGTTGTTCCCCGCCTGTTATGTGAAGGGGTAGTAGTGATTGGGTGTCTTAGTTCATACCATAAACTTTCTTTATTTATGCATTAACCAACTGTATATGTAGGGCTCTGCAAACATTTTAGTTAAGGGTTCATCTTCGTCAACATACAATTGGCAATTTTATTTTTTATCTAGACCTTAACTTCATGAGATTACTACTTCATTGGGTATATAAGTTAAAGGTTTGTCTCGGTTACATGGTTGTCAATTGTCATGTCGTTTGCATGCCATCCGGTTAAATCTGGTTTAACCTGTGCCGGTCATGAAACCGGCATGGCACCACTGGTATGATCGACTTATGCATTCTAAGCAAAATGACATCATATTAATGAATTTAATTAATAAAAAATTAATTTATTATTCATTTTATGAATTTAATAGTTAAAAGTTGATAATATTTGCTGGATTGTAACTAAATTGTCCACAAATATGTTTTATATATGATTAAATACATTGGATATTAATTATTTTCACATTTTTTTAAAACGGCGTGAACCGGCACAAACTGGTTTACCACCAGTCGTACCATTTTAGTTGCCAAACTAGCACAACAGTATAAACCGGTTTGACAACCTTGCTCGGCTGTAATAGCACTCCAATTGCATTTAGGTGGATTCTTGCCATTTTCATTTATTTCCTGAAATGCAATTCTCCCCAGTAATAAATATAAATTTCCATATAGCTATAAAATTAAAAGCATGCATTTTTAGCGATATTAATGGTTGTTTAGTTGGTAAATAAATCTATATTAAGCAAGGTTGTTAACTCGAATGGCTAGATCAAACCGTTGATGCGATCAAGCACATGAGTTATGGGTTAATGGTTTTAGGATCAACCCAATTGGTTGGCCCACATTTAACACTTTTAAAGATATAGGTTGCAACATAATGATTTGAGCTTTGAGAGACAAAACAAATGAGGGTGGATTTATGGTACCACTAAGTACATTTCCATCCCCGACTCGTGCGGGGAGCGGGAGGCAAGATCCACGAGGTGGAGGCGATTGACGATGATGATGCCATGGGTGGCAGTCAGAGGAGCTGGTCACAGCAGCCAGAGTAGCTGTTCGCGAAAAGATCTCCATCTCTAGCGAGGGTCTAGGGTTTGAGAACGTGAAATTATGAAATTGGGGAGGAAGAACCACTTCCCTTGCAAACGATGTACGGAGTTGAAGTTTGGCTCAGTGCTCGATCAGTTGGTCAAACCAGCTGATTTCTCTAAGTTTTACATGTAATAACTAATAAAATATCGCTCTCACCATCTTTATGAGCTCCAAACTTACAAATGAAATTTCGGTCCTCCAACCACGGGTATATAATAATAACAACAATATTTCCCTCAGGTCATTCATACAGCCATTGGTCCACCCCATAACATCCCAAAGGCCAGTGTCTCTCCCTTTCGCCAGAGTCTTCCTTTCCAACCACCCAAAAAAAAACAGAGTCAAATATCCAGCCGCCGGCCAAAAAATGCTGGACGAGAAAGTAGTATTGGACGCGGCGAAGCAAGGGGCGAAGAGTTTGGGGAAGGCGGTCGCCCCCATAGCCACCCAACATGTCAAAATGTTGTTCGGAGTCAACAAGGAGCTGGATCGCCTGCGATCCACCGTCGACGCGATCGAGGCCGTGTTGAAAGACGCGGCGGCGGCGGCGGGGGGAGGAGGAGGAGGAGGGCTCAGCTACCAAGACGGCGAGTGGGTCGACAACCTGGCGCGTATGAGGGACGAGGCAGCGGATCTGCTGAAGAGCTACTCGGCGAGGAAGCGGCGGCACGACGCCATCTTGAACCGGCGGTTCAACTGCGTCAGCTTGGCCAGCTACGCGGTGTCGGTTCCTGGGTACTGGGTCGAGAACTACTTCGCGGCTCTGAAGGTGAGCAAGATCAGGGAGAGGCTGGATGCTATGGCTAAAGACCGGAAAACCGTGCATTCTAATTTCCGATGAGCTTCATCACAGGATGACTCCAGATGCGCGCGGTCTTTTTTTTTTTTAATGCTAGCTTTTTTCTTTCTGTCTTGCAACTTCAGTAGTTGGCCCTCTATGATTTGATTGGGTTGACCAAATGAAGGAGCCGGGGAAATGGGGCGTGGTTATGTACTTGTGTTATAGAATATGTTTCTTGTAACTCTCGATTGTTCTTGGTTACGTTGGTTGTATAATAATTAATGCTTTTGGTAACCTCAGTCCCATCAGGTGGTCTAAACCTTTGTGATCAATATGAACCAAATGCGGGGATGATAGGCCTTTGAAATGTGATGGTTTATAATAGGTTGCTGGGAGTAAGGGGGGAAAATTAGTCGAGCTGAGTCGACTTATTCAAATTCCGACTCAGTTTGTTAATAAACGAGTTGTGCTCGATGTTGGTAATAAATAAGTTGAGCTCGCGTCAGGTTATTTAATGAAACTTTGCCTTGTGTTTGACTATTACTACTTCTTATTAGTGAGGGCACAGCCTTTGCGTCGAACTTGGCTTATCAATTAGTTCACGAGCGCTCAGCTCGAACTCAACTAATTGTCATTTCAAATAATTAAACCCCCGAACTAAACTCTAAAATAATTTATAAATTAAATATTTTAGTATTTTTTATGTCTTATATAATACATGTGATTAATGTCATGAATATTCTAAAAAGAATCGGAACCAAACTTTCATCATTAATTGGTCCCATGTTTATATACTCTATTGATATTATATTATTTAATTAATTAATTTTAAGTAGTTCATATTATGTTATTTACTAGTAATTAGTATCTAACATATCTATGACAACTACTATTTTAAATTGTATATGTGACATATATATAATTTAATAACCTAGGAATTATCAACAAGCAAGCTTATAAATTATATATTGATTCGCTAATAACTTCATAATCGAGTTGTGACTAGCCATACTGTTGATTCAGCTCACAAATTGAGTTTCAAAATTCACATAGTTTAACTAACTCGTGAGTTGAACCAATTTTAGTTCAAACTTGACTTGATAGTAAAAGAGCTCAATGTGAAACAAGTTTTACTCGAGTCAACATTCAATCACTCATGGTTAGTTTGGCTATTAGTTTCGAGGGGGGAAAGTTGTATTTTAGAATGGTATTCTTTCTAAGTTATCTTTCTAATTTGAATAAATATAAAAAAAAGACTTAAGTCATTAAAGAGCTGATTGGTCAGAACTCAGAAATGAGCTGGCCTCAACCTAGTTCTTCTTAATCTATTCAGCAGGTTACCAATCAAAAAAAAAAAAAAAAAAGAAATGAGCTGGCCTAACAACTTGTCCTATGGACGATAGTGCAAAGTACTATTCTGAGTTCTGAACACAAATAAATAACCAAGTATGTGTATAATGGAAACACAAATAAACAAGTAGCCGTGAGGTGTGAATATAAATTAAATTTATGTGGAATGGGTGAATGATTAACAATTCAATAATCACGATCACGCATTAAATATTGTAACCAATTTCTTAACAATATAGAGGAGACGAAGACTCTTCATTTTGTGTATTACTATTAATTAGTTGGGAAGAAGAAGACTCGGGGAAGGCCACCCGGGTCATTCTCCTGGCGACTCCCTCTTTTCCATCCCTTTTCCACTTTCTTTAGTCTTATTATCTCACTTGGCCGGCCGGCGGGTCACCGTGGACGCCAGAAAAATCCGACCCAAAAAAATGTTGGACGAGAAAGCAATCTTCGATGCAGCAAAGGACGGCGCCCAGAAATTGGGGAAAGCCGTGATGCCCATTCTCCAGGACAGCGCGAAGCTCCTGTTCGGGCTGAAGAAGGAGCTGGAGAATCTCAATTACACGATCCGATCCATCGAGGCGGTGGTGAAGGACGCCGAGCAGAAGCAGAAGCCGCTGAGCAACCAGGACCGGGACTGGGTGGAGAAGCTCTCGGGTGTGATGAAGGAAGGCTTTGACCTGCTCCGCTCTTACTGGGAGAGGTCCCAGAAGCAGGCCGCCATCATCAACGGGGATTACTTCAATTGCGTCAATTTGGCCAACTACGCCGTGTCTTATCCGTACCATCTGTGGGCTGATTTTCGGACGGCCGGCAAGATCAAGGATATTAGGGAGCGGCTCGATGCTTGTGCCAAGGATCGGAGGATGTTTCAGCTTCGAGTTTGAAGTAGATGCCGGCCGGCGGAGGGTGCCGGAGGTCTCCAATTTCAGATTTGGCATTGTTTGGGGTTGACCATGGAGGGAGGTTTTACTACCTACGGATGGTTGCTTTGCCACCGTTGATTTTGCTAAAGCGTGCGACTTTTCTTTCTTCTCTTATTGTGAAAAGCTATTACTGTACTAGCTGGGTTTACTGTTGTGGTTTTTTTTTTTTGTACTTCATGGGCTTGATATGCTGCGGTGGGCTTCTGTTTTTGTCTACATGGTGGGCTTTGTGCAGCTGTTGTACTGTAATATAAATGTACAATTTTAATTTATACCATAAATGGATTTTACAAACAATTCGAAGTTTTACTATAAAAGCAAAAAATACAGCACCAATGCTTTAAAGTATTGTAAAATTCCTCTAATCTAACTCCATGTTACTTACAATATATAACAAATTAAAAGGGTAAAAAAGCTTAAAAAAAGGCTGAGAGCTAAATAGGGCCGGCCAATAGGGCGTGCCAAGAGGCTCTACAACACAGTGTCACCAAATATTTGTGGCGTATGATTGAGTGATTATGTATATATTATGCTTTCCAATATGTTAATTTATAATAATCATGCAAATAATTAGTCAGTATTCTCACGTACATACAAATGAAGGGGTTAATTCCATGAATATTGTTTTTTTTAATTTACCACGAATATAGCGGTTTTAAAACTATTTACAGGAATATTGTGTTTTTTGGAGGGAAGTTGGCGACGGCGCCCGAGACTCAGATATTCGAGTTTTAAAGGGTGTAGATAGCGACGGCGCCCCAGTCTCGAGCTTTGGCGCTTTTTGAAATTTCAAAAATTAGAAAAGGCGCCAAAGCCCGAGACTTGGGCGCCGTCGCTATTAGGGTTTCTTTTTTTTATCCCCTTCCTCCCTCCCCTCCCTCTCGCACCAGACCCATCCCTCTCCCTCTCCACTCCTCCCTCCTCCTTCATCCTCCATCCCAGCGCCGAGGACGAGAGCGGCGACGCCGAGAGAAAGGCGGCAGAGCCCCAGTCCCAGGCGGCGGCGCGCGGCACAAGGCGAAGGCGCTCTAACTAAACTGGCGGCGCTATGTCGGACGACGAGCAGGCCCCCGGCGGCAGAGGAAGAGGCCGAGGCCGGCGAGGCCGGCGTGGCGGCGAACGCTACCGGAGTGAGTCCTGCCGGCGGCGACTTTTTTCCGGCGACTTTTTTTTTTTGTGTTCTAATATTTTTTTTCCAGTTCCTAGGCTTATCGATCCTTGTTCGATGAGACCACCACCTACGACAATCGATACTGCTCCGAATTATCCGGAACTTCTTTGGGGGCATGGTCACCATCGGATTGACGCAGTTTGGGCAAATGAGGTAAGTTGTTTAAACTATTTCTATAGTTTTTTTTTATTAGTTGTATAATAGAATAGAATAGAATTAAATTAAATTACGAATAGAATTAAATTAAATTAAGAATATTATTAGATTAAATTAAGAATATTATATTAGAATAAGTTTAGTTTAGATATATAAATATAAATATTAGGTGAATTGAATTGAAGGAATTGAATTAATATAGTTTTGTGCATTAATTATAGGCTGGTGATCGACCATACCACATTCGTCATACGGGCAATTTAGTTCGATACAATCCACAGTACCTGCCGTATCTCGTCGATGCCGGCTTGTCTAGTGTTCTGCCACTAGCCCCTCTTACCGGTGATCCGGGTTTGATTACTGCGCTCGTAGAGCGTTGGAGACCCGAGACATCGACATTCCACATGTCGTTCGGTGAGGTGACGATCACCCTAGAGGACGTTGCGACACTCACCGGATTAGCGATCGACGGTGATGCCGTCATAGTAGACATACCAGACGAGGATTGGTCGGCTATGTGTCTTCGACTGTTAGGACAGGCTCCTACTGATCTTGGTGGCGGCGTCATCCGGATTACTTGGCTCAGGGAGACTTTCGATGAGCTACCGCTTTCTGCATCACCAGAGACGACAGAGCAGTTTGCTAGAGCGTATGCGCTGTCTCTGATGGGAGGTGTCTTGTTCTCCGATCGGTCTGGAGGTTCAGTTCACCTGCAGTATCTACTTTTGGTAGAGGATTGGGGCAGAGCGGGGAGGTTTGCTTGGGGAGCAGCTGTGCTATCCTACTTGTACCGTGAGATGGATAGATCGGCGCTGCAGATGACGGCATCTTCTTCACTGGGTGGTGACTTTGGTGGATGGTCCGCCTTGCTGATGATCTGGACGTGGGAGCGGTTTCCTCATACATCACCACTACATGCGGTGACGGGTGCGCAGATTACTCAGGACGCAGTGCCACGTGGCCTTCGGTGGCTTCCGGCCCACACCCGTTATCATGTGCTAAACTCCAACGAATCTGATGTTGGTCCACACAGTTATCACATGAAATATTTCTATCAGTGGCCACCTTCTTAAATTGCTCAACTTGACGATCGAACTTCTCCAAGCGTTTTTCTCCGACTAACAAAATAATCAACCACACGGGTTAGATAAATTCATGACAAAATTACCTAAAAATAAATAACAAAATTAAATGAAGAAGGCTTACCGACTCGAAATAGTTGCTTATACATAATTCTGCTTTTAGTCTTCCTTTGCAAATTGCTTGCATAGTGTCGCATGCACCACCTCCACTCCCAACCTCTTCCGATGTTATTCATGGCTTCATAGAGTCCTGCATGTCTATCTGAGATGATGCATACATCATTTCGATTAGTCAAACCCTGAAAGTGACGTATGAACCATGGCCAACTATCAGTATTCTCACTCTCCACTATGGCAAATGCAATTGGAAAAATCTTCTTCCGGCCATCAAATGAGCTCGCCATGAGTAGCACTCCTTTATACTTCCCAGTAAGAAATGTCCCATCAACAACCATGACGCCTGGACAATACTTGAATCCATCTATACAAGGTCCATAAGCCCAAAATACTCGCTGAAATATCGAATGACCTGGTTGAGTCGAAGGAACTCTTACCCAATCAATCACCGATGTTGGCATTTTTCTCTTGACCACCCGCAAGAATGTTTGCAAAAAATCATAGGATTCTTCCCAATTTCCATGCAACTTCTCCAATGCTCTTTGTTTCCCATACCAAGCCTTCTTGTAAGTAACTTGCATATTAAACTTATCTTTCAACTCGGCTTGCACAGTTCGAACACTCAGATTAGGTTGGGCACGTACCAAATGTTTGACGGCCTCAGATATCACGTCGACATCAAGATGGCGATGATCCGTCGGTTGAGTCGTACTGCTACAAGTATGCACCAACTCGACCTTTCTCACGCTCCAATCGCCTCCCACATCTCGACATCCAAACCGCACCATCCAAGGACATTTGTCCTCCTTGTGCATCAAACATATGATCTTCCAGATTGAAGGTGACGACTCCACCACGTTATACTGAAAGTTGCGTTGTAGTGCATAGTGCTTAATCGCCACCTGTGCAGCTTGTTTCGAGTGAAATATCTGCCCCTTGTAGAATTCTCCATCAAAACCACCAACAGTAGACCCTGGAATTACGCCATATGAATCAGCATATGATAATTCCTCGTCCTCTTCATTACCCTGCAAGTAAAAATATGGAGGATAATTAGGTAGTTCTCCTCCCTCCCCGTCGTCCTCCTCCTCCTCCTCATCTTCCTCCTCTCCGTCATCACCATCATCATAGGCATGATCGGATGGCACGCTCCATGTATCATCACCGTCATCATCGTCTTCCTCTCCATCCCGATCCTCACTGAGCTCAGCATGTATCTCAGCACCCAAACAATAAGGATTTTGTGCCATAAAATTCCAAAGCACATTTAAGCTATCATCATCGACAATAGGCATTGCATAATGAAATAAAACACCATTCTGCCATTCTGGAAGACAGTAGGTGAAACCTGTAATCACAACACTATCTTGTACTGTTTCGTCTCTAATCCGTATTCTCCGAATGAGATGATCACAAAGTTTCTTATAGTTCACCCTGGATGGAATAGTCATCTGGAAACTTAAACCACCAACAAAATGGACACCCAAATTGTCTTCTACTTTCTCTGATCGCCACCGAACAGCTAGTTCAAATCTTCTAAAACCACTACATTAAAAACAAACTCTAATTACTAACTGGACAAAATCATTATGATGAATACATGAAAAAAAAAATTACGACTCTTACCTGTTATTAGCCATCTTCCCAGCAACCAGACAGCAACACCAGAGCTTCTCTCAGAACTACTTTCAGTTTTTTGGTGATGAAGAACCGAAGGAAAGGTGCAGTATATATATGAATGGGTGGTGCTGGAGTGGAAAAAATGGCAGCGACGAAGCCCCAGTCTGGGGCGCCGACGCTTTTACTTTTTCAAAAGCGCCGAAGCCCCAGTCCGGGGCGCCACCGCCAAGTTTTGTTTTTAAAAAAGCACCTAGCGGCGGCGCCCCGGACTGGGGCTTCGGCGCTTTCAACATATCAAAAAACACAATATTCTTGTAAATAGTTTTAAAACTACTATATTCGTGGTAAATTAAAAAAAAAACAATATTCAAGGAATTAACCCCAAATGAAGCACGTGTTTTGAAACAATACTCCGGAATACACACAAAATATGATGAGAAGAATAACTTCTTTATTAATTACCCTCATAGTACAAGCTACAAGTAATTATATGATTACACGGAGAGGAGTGTAAGCTATATTGTTTTTTGGTGTGTCTTCTCTTCTTCTCTAGCCTTGCTTTTATAGGCAATGAGCAAGCCATTTTCATCAATGTAGTTAGGAGGTTGGGGAGATGATGATGTGTAGGGTGAACATCCATTCAATGTATACATCATAATGCTCCCCCTTATATGTTCATAATTTGTAGTACGTTTTTTGTATACAGCCTAAAAAAAACTTACTAGGAAAAACCCAATGGAAAAAAAAACCATAGTTAAGGAAAAGAGAGTACAATGCGTATCTACTCCCCCTCATTGTGACATCATTGAAGATTTTTGAGTCACCGAACTCCCATCTTGTGGACTAGCAACAGGATACCCAACAGTTGGAGTGAAGATGAGAGATATATTACTTTAGTTTGATTTTAATTTTCCAAGCTATTTTGTTTTCTTAGTTGTAAACACTTGAGAGGAGGTTATGCTGTTGAATACTCCAGAGCTTAATGCAATTTTTGATTACTCGTAAAAAAAATTCAAATTAGTTTAAAATGAAATAATTTAAATTGCCTTAATCATATTGTTACATCCCTATTCCGTGTTGGTAAACGAAACGATTTGATTTAATTACTTTATTTTATCGAAATTGAGTCAAATTATCTCATCAC